TATTGACACAAACATGCAATATTAAAAGATTACGAACCCTTTCATTTCTTCACTTGTCAATATATGTTTAGCATATTGAACGCAGGTATGCTATTTTCAGACCATTGTATAACTTTATTCAAATTATTGACTCTATAATTGCAAAATAATCATTGACTTAAATTTGATATTGAAAAAAGTTTTTTTTCACAAAAAAATCATTATTAATTATTTAATCTTGAAACTTGGAATCTATTTTTTCAATTATGTATAGAAAAGCGAATTCATGTTAAAGAAACTCGCCAGCATCCGGAAATTAACCATTCGAAAATGAACAAGAAATTTATATAAAAATCAAATTTGAAGTTCATGATATATCCAAAACTGAAAAAGGAAATCAGCAGATATTGTATTAAAATGTCCCTGAATGAAGTACTTGTAAATCTTGTAAGTTACCAGTGATGTACATGTAGTTGTTTTGCTACTGACAATTCCAAGGCGGTGCTCGGCTGCATGTGTTTCTTAATTGTACGCCCTGTTACTTGTTTATATGTGGTGATACTGCTTGTGTTTTAGTAAAAGTCTTTAAATACTGTCCTCCCTCCAAACACACTTAACTTTCTTTTTTCCCCACCCAATCCATTGTCCCTACACCCTCATCTATGTAATTCCTGTTTAAGCTCATTTAAAAAACAACAACAAAAACACCGTTGTCGATTGCTTTTCTTTGCTTAATTTTCTAATGAAATTAACAATTATTAAAGGGATTCCACTGAGTTTTTTTGGCATGATGGGACTGAAAATATTTTTTCCAGATAAATGTACCATTTAATGTAGGTTAAGACCACTAATCTTAGTGCAAAAATTCATATCATTCGCACTTTCGTTTTTCCAGAATAATTATTCAAATTGTAAAATATGACCCAAAATGAAAAGCGTTTAAACACTCTTCACTCAAATCGGGCTACGAAAAGCTAAGAAAATTTGATTTTTAATTTATTTCAAAGTATATTTCTTAACTATCTTTGCATATATTTCTGTTTAAAATGCCCGGCTCATTTATGTAAGAAAATCAAATATTATGTTTTTTTTTAGGTTTTTAAACCTCAGTGGAGTCCCTTTCACAGACGTTTGTACGCCCCCTGTTTTTGTTCATTTCCATGTTGGGTTTCTTGCCGGTGTTCATGTATTGTTGGGTATTTTTGGGGATTGCGTTATAGGACCCCGCCCTCATTTGTCAAACTGTCCTTTATAAATTCAGGTATAGAATTTAAAAACAAAATGATATCGGCGAAAACTGATCTGTTAAATAAAAGAACATCATCAATTAGTAATAATAGTTTATAATGCTATTGGTTACATAGGTCGCTGACGAAATATATACATTAGAATGTAGCCAAAATGAGATCTATATAAACCAAGATACTTGTATTCAGCGTCGTTGCTTCTCTCTTCCCCTTGGAACGTGTACGTCGTTGAGAAGACACAGGGCATCAGCAGATGATTGAAGAACCAATGCTACGTGTAAGACGTCAAGTTCGCATGTTTTCTACAGTTCGGAGTTACGTATTAGTTAAGGCTTAGCTTGCATGAAGTTAACTGCCGACTAAAGCCGAGGGGAGTAGCCCTACAAAGTAGGCAGAGTCGACCAGGATGGTGTACTATTGTGCACGAGCCCCAAATGACGAATGACGGCTTGTAAGGGACTCTTTTTGCACCAACAGCCCTTTTAAAGGCTACCTCATTTCATTACTGTCTCAGGTAACTGTACATTTAGGTTCTCATTGGCCGCAATACAGTGGCTCAAAATCATATCTTTTGCCAATACTCCGTGGAAATTGCATGGAGGTAAATTATCACCAACTAATGCTTCAAAATTAACTATTTAAGGGCAAGACTGATGACATGTCCGGGGTCCGTACTCGACAGCGAAAGCTGCTTTTGTGCCTTAACGGGCGGATGGACCCTCAGCAAATATGAACTTTATACATACAAACATTCAGCGTTGTTGAAACATCTTCTGCTTATCATATTCTTAAATTGTGTAAAGTTTTATTGAAATTGTCACACTGTTTGGTACGTGAAACGTGCTGATTTTACGTGTTACGATGATTCCATCCAAGATGGAGGAACAATAAACACCAAGAAGGTACGACGCGACGTGTCATTTTATCATATATGTATTAAGACAAATAAGAGATTAATCATTGAATTTTCACTGATTTTTGCTACATTGACTATGACTATTGACTTTGCTATTAATTGGTAAGTGATAACAATTATTATCTTCAAACTTGGACAAAACATATTTTTTTGGACAAGACCTTCTGAAAGGTTTAACTGACATTGACTTTGAGCTTTGGTTTAAACAGTATTTATTTCATATAATACAAACATATACAATTATGATACAACAACATTATATAAACAGGATTGAAAAGGAAGTCAAAGACTTATGTAGATTTCTTTCCTGTAAATTGTAAAAATAAAGCAAATTGCAATGTAACAACACGTACTTGTAAGTATACTAGTTACTAACATGAAATAATTATATTATTACGCCTAGAAAGAGTGAGATAAGTAATGAAAATACAACAAACGACGAAAAAATGAGAATTACAACAAATGTGCGATTATATATAAAGAGGGTACGGAAGGGGAAAAAAAGCTCGATCTTTAGTCTGAACAAATAGTTTGAACTTTTTGATTAGAACACTCAAGAATTATAGTAAAGAAGAAGCATATATAGAAGGATAGTTATAGAACTCAGAGAACGAGAAGTGGCCATTGTCTTTGATTGGGATGATAGGTCAGTTTTGCACAGCAAATATCTGTGATAATTTTTATATAAGAAAAGGAAATTTTATTTATGTGTCAATATAAATTATTTGAATTATTTTTGTGGTTATCGGGAGTATTTAAATCCTGGATATAACACCTAGTATCTTATTATTATTGTTAAATAAGAGACAAATTATAAATCACAATAATAGAGTATAGGATGAATTAAAAGAATGTTGAATTATGAAAGCACGTGATAAACGCTCGTAAGTACACCATTTATATTGTTTATGAATTATGTAAGGAGTTAGGCAAGACAAAACCGCTGTGTGCTAGAGATATATTCATGTACAAGATCAAATATTTTGGCATTTGTTTCATCGCTGAGACCTCTATCGCCATACAGTATAGTTGACAATGTAACTGTTGTTATTTGTTGAAGCTGTTCCTTGAATATGGCTCTCTGGCGGGAAAATTGATTACAATTAAAAAAAAAGTGACATGAATCTTCAATCTCACCGCACTGACAGAAGGGGTCATCAATTATGTTTTTAGAGAAGAGATCTTCCTTTAGAATGCTGCAATGGGTTCTAAGTCGTGTGTGTAAGATTTGGGACTTACGGTTACCGTGATAATAGTATATAGGTACTTTTGAAAGTGTAGAATTTAGTTTTTTCTTAAATATGCCGATGCTTTCTGAATTTCTGACTTCCACAGGTAGTTGGTTCCATTCACTGATCGTAGCATGAAGAAAAGATTTAGAGAAGAATTGAGTATTACAATATATGTTTCTGGTATTATGGCCATTTCTAAGATTATAAGGAGTGACATCATCAACAGATTCAGGGACTAGAGAAGATAAATATGGTGGTACCAGGAAGTTTTTCATTTTGTAGTACATTATTAATTTGTGTTTAAGCCATCTAGATTTAAGAGTTTCAAGACCAGTTTCTTTGTACAGATTTGATAGTGAGACTAATTTGGTGGCTCCAGTTATGATTCGAGCTGCTTCCAACTGTATCTGTTCCAATTCAAGTTCCTCTTTTTGTGTCAAATTGTCCCATACGACGTTTGCATACTCTAATATTGGCCTAATAAAGGAGAAGTAAATAGTTTCTAGGGACTTTCTGTCTAGGGTAAATTTAAGTTTCCGCATGATATTGATTCTTTGCCAAGCTTTGTGTTTAATATTAGAAATGTGTTCACACCAGGACCCGTTGTTGGATAACGTAACTCCAAGATGTTTATGGGATTCTACTTCAGAGATTTGACGATTATTCATAAAAAGAGGTGGATGATTATGTGAACGATGTTTTTTAGTTATAAGAATTGATTCTGTTTTGCTCGGATTGAACTTGACAAGCCAAGTATCTGCCCAATTACTTATTTTATTAAGGTCTGACTTTGAGCTTTATCCATGTCAAATTAATCAATTTTGGTTAAATCGTCATAATTCTGTTATTAATGTACGGATTTGATTTATACTTAGACAAAACAAGATTTGCTACGAAACAAATAAACTGAATAATTTAGATGTGACCTTGACATTTATATGCGCTTGACCGGCGAAACCAAATTAACAAAGTTCTCTTGTTTTTCCTGTAACTGGCCATAACTTTGTTATTTATAAATGGATAAACCTAATTTTTAGACACAACATCTTAAGGACAGGACCTTCATGTAAAAAAACTTAAACTGACTTTGCCTAATGTCTGACCTTGACCTTCAAGGTGAACTTACTCAAGGTCAAATTATTGAATTTTTACTGAATTATGCTATAAATGAATATAACTTGGTATTTTATCCACGGATTTTCTCCATATTTGGACATAATCACCTTTTTGACAAAAACCTTCTAAAAGGTTGAACTGATCTTTAGCTTTTTATGAACTTGATCACCATTTTGGTATTCATGTACAAAACTTGTGTTCAAACCGACATGCTGAATACTATGACATTGACCTTAAATTGACTTTAAAAGTCAAGGTAAGATGATTGAATTTTGCTTATATTTTCTTAACTTTATCGGTTATTTATGAAAATGATTTATACTTGCACATAACGAGTGTGACTAGATAGACCTATTAAAATAAAAAAGACACAACTTTTTTTATTCAATTTTAGATTGTTGACAACAGTTATAATATACGAAATTTGATCATAGTAATGTTGAAAAGACACAGTAAATAACAATACGAACATTGTCAGATCAATACATTTTCATTGACAAGCGGATAAAGAAGTATACACAGTTCGGTAACTTTTTTTAACAGAAAGAATATTTAAAGGCTGAATAGATAGATCAATACAAGAAAAACGATTAAAAAGTGTATACATGTGGTTGTTTTCAAGGTGAAATGCAAGGATAGTTTAATATTTCATTAGAAATGGAGCGCAAGCCAAAGAAATTAAAAGTTGATAATTCATTACTTCGGCCAAAACCGTTTACACAGAAAGGGTTATATGATGACGAAGTTACATTATATTTTGGAAAGGAAAATCTTTATGTCTCGAAGAATTTTCTATGTTTAGCCTCGCCAGTATTCGAAGCGATGTTTAGAAATGAGTTTAGAGAGAAGAAAGAGAAACGTGTGGCGATGACTTGGAAATCATACGAAGACTTCCTTGACTTCCTGCTGTGTATTCATCCAAGATATCAAAAAGAAGTAAACGGTAAGTTAAATTAACACAGACAATGGTCGGAAAAGTATGTAATCTAATAGTTTGAACTATATATGAGTATATGTTATAAATGTATATATTGTTGTTTCTGACTATATTTCAACAAGCAAATGTACAAATAGATGCATGAACGTCAATTTATTAAGATAATGGTAAACTAACACATGTATATTAAATGCAGACTTTACATTAGGACATGCTACATTTTTTAAATGCCAGCCAGTTTCGTTTCTTTAAAATCATAAGAACATAGTTCTAAGATGTTCTAATTTGTACAAAAGGTTCAACATGTAATGCCATTTCATGACAATATATGACTTATTTGAGAATGAAATTTGATATATTATACAAGTACCTCAAGATTGTACATACCTAAATTGAAACACAGAATATGTACAGCAAATAAAGTAAAATGAATGGCAAGAATTTGAAATTGAATTTATATTTACTGGCAGTTTACATTTTCATTGTTTTTCAATGTACAAGTTAGCTTGTAAAAAGGTCAACTAAACATACTTTACCTACTGAATAGTGAATGATAATATCTTATGTATACGAGTACATATATACTCATGAACCACTTTCTTTTCAGAACTGAATGTGCTACGTATTGTCCCTTTAGCTGAGGAATATCAAGTGACAGCGACTGTAACAAAATGTAAGGCTGTTATGAAGTCCATGTTGTCAAATGCCGAAGAAACAGCATTACAAACAAATCATCTTCCAGAACATCTTAAACCATTGAAGAAGTGTTTAAATGTATTGAATTCCGCAGCTTCTCTGAATTACACAGACATTATGGACTTAGCTGTCAAATCTATTGCCAGGTTTGGATACTGTCTGTACGACGGACTTGATCATTCTAAAGATGTATTAAGAGGTTGTTATCCAGCGTTAGACAGCAAAGTAGACGTTAACAACGATACGACATACAGTGATATATATAAAGATTGTAATGTTCTCTTCAAAGGTCTCTCGCTTGAAATCCGCAACAAAATTCTGTCTGAAAGATTAATGAAATTCAATGACAATAAATTTAAGTAATTTATAGTAATCAAATTTCAGATTACGCGGCGTTTTTATCTACATCCATAAAGCTTTTCTTTTATAAATTACACAATATACTGAATATATGTATGAGTAACGTTGTTCAAAATTTTGATAATCAAAATAAAGTACACTAGCTTACCACGTCTTTTATAATAAAAAATTATTTGTGACACATTTAATATGTTCGATGATCTCAAGACCCGATAAAAACAATTTATATGTATGACTCGGATGACTCGGTCATCTACGGCTTACGCATGTGTGTGCGTGAGTGCGTATGTGTATACTTGAGTTAGGTTTATTCCCCCTTGTCACCAGAAAAAATAAAACCCTCTTTCGTTATATTTCTGTAGGCCTTTTCCTTATGCCACTGCTATTTCAACGCAATTTCATTTATATATGGAGCTTTCTGTTGGACACATTCATAATTTTAGACTAGTAATTTGCAAAGTGTGCATTTATTTCGATGGCATCAAACAATCAGAAACGGGATACACACTTTCACTGTACTAAATACCTTTTCAGATGGATCACCATTATTTTCTCTTGACCTTAAAGTCAGTTTGAAAACAAATCGTATACTAACGGGCTTCATTTTATTAAAGAGTTTTACTTTTTCATTATTTGTTTTTGAAGAAAATAATTATGTTAGAATCGAAAATGAAAAGTGTGAACATTTGAAAAAATGCTGCCTTTTTTACTCACCAAAAGTAAAGTAAAACTGGTAACATGTGACTTGACCTATAAACACTTTGATTTGGTTCCAGTTATGATGCAATCACTTTGTCTCTCATGAACCTAAGAAGTGTGACCATTGCCATTTGACCACGGCTGTCCCTCATTTTTTTAAGTAAAACAAAAGCGAAAAGTGATGACAGGTAAAATGAACTCATACAGGTATCTCCCCCCCCCCCCCACAATTCTTAAATTGTGCGAATGACTTATCAAAGCCATTAATATTGATTGCAATTTAAAGCCGGTAGAACTTTCTAAACGAGACAGTTGAATAAACTTTTATTACGAGGTAAATCACAGTCACATGTACTTAAATGTTTATTAAACCAACAGTAAATTTTAGTTTAGCAATTATGTATATGTGACTAATGTAAGTGACATTTGTTGCAATAAAATGTAAGAAAATACTTCGATACATAATGATTAAAATATTGTTTCCATGACGAAACCACGATGGTAAAAGCTCGAAAGTACGTACAATCGTGATTTCGTTACTACGACTTTCCTCTGTCATACTTCCGACTCTTCATCATCATACCTTCGACTTTTTATCATTGTAGTTTTGTTATTCAGACTTTTCATCATCATATTGTTACATGTTGCTCTCTATGACCCTAACGGAACACCGTACTTTACACTGAACTGCTACTCTAAATCTGACGAAAACGCGGTGTGGCACATGACTGGTCTTTAAACGCGGAACAATTTTCCTAGACATTGCTTGTTGATATTTGAAAAACAATAATGGACAAATAAGCTAGAATCAAATGATATTATTAGATGCCGCGTGCTTGTAGATATGCATTCTTCCATTCAGCAATAAGAAAATTTTAGTCTTGCTTTTGTCCATTTGTTTGTTTTAACAAAATTACACTGTTTTCATATTCTCTAATAAAAATAGCTATTTTAATACACATCATGTCAACAAGATTTAAGGAATCAAATTAACGTTTAACTTAAGTGAAAGTGTCATGATTGAATAACATATTCTTTTTATTTTTATCTTTTTTAATTTACCTAATAAATAACGTGTCAATGAGCCAGTCTATATTCTAATGGCGGGAACCATATTTTGGACAGGGAACCAGGGGTGTGACAGACATTTTGTTTTTTGCAAAACAGGCACAACGTATGCTTAATCATGAAAATAATTAACATTTAAGTAATGAGATAGAATAACTCAGTGAAAAAGTTAATTTGTTTTGAAGTGTATTACAAACATTTGCGCAATAGGTTGTTTTGAAGGATTCTATGCTGACAAAATGGCCGCAAAACGGACATATTCTTGGCGCAACTATAAAAGGAACAATGTATGGTTTTAGATAACAATTATCAAACTAAAATAAATTATATATATTAAATGTTGTATCAACATAAAAGTTTGTTGTAAATTTCGATAGGAATTTTTTATCTTAATGTTATGGAAGGTTATACATGCCTGCGAAATGAACTTATTCGGGATCTCATTGCAACGGGGATAATTTTGTATAAAGAGCACATTGAATGCTTATAAATTACAATTGTCAAACTAAAATTTACCTTCATTGAATATAATATCATAATGGAAGTTTGTTTTAAAATTCAATAGGAATAATTTTTTTTATAACTTAATGTTTTGAAGGATTAGGTATGTCAGCAAATGTTCTCGGTGCAACGGAGATATTTTTCTTTACCTCTGTCTTTGTGTTGAATTTATTTAAAGGTTTATCAAGCATTTCATTTTTACTTGTTATCCAATTTATTTTACTTCGAGCAGACCTTTCAATCATTTTAATAACAGACATACATTTCAGAATTTCAAACATGGCATTACTTTGTGAATTTATGCATTAGGTTCTACTTTTTCATAAAACTATGCAATTTATTAAACAACGAGCACATACCAAGTAAAATTGATAAGTGCTTCGGATTTTCAACTGTAATATAAAACAATTGTCAAGGCTGATTTTGTACATTAACTGTGTGCAGCATCAAGATTTCACTTGTCTGTAACACTTATGTATTATCTTGTATTTATAAGCTTAGGGCAAGGCCAAACAAGGAAAGTGTCTGCCATTCAACGTCATTGTCTTATACAGATGATTCATGTGGAAAAGTTCAAAAGCGTAAACTTGCCATGAAAACAATTTCCTTTTACTGACAAAGACAGAAAAAGAAGAAAATAAGCGAAAAACTAACAAGATGTTTGCATCAATGGAATTATAAAACTGTAATCGGATTGTGACATTATAATAATTCCTATATAATGTAGCATAAGACCTATAATTCTAACCGCAGGCAAACATGTTTTGAGGTCAAAGGCGGACATACAATATTCAACTACTGATTTTTTATTATTGAATTTAATAATCACAGCCACAGGTTAGGTGCACAGGCTCTAGACACTTTCAATATAATTTTACACAATTTATGCACAGAAAAGATTTATGTATGCACGTATCTATAATCTATTATATATTATAATATATAAAAGGTATATATATCCTTTAATTCCATGTTGCTTATTGGCGTTGGAAACATTTTTTTCTTAAAATTGCCATTTTACAGCTGCTTGTTATACAGAGTCTTAAAGTGGATTTGTCTACTATGGGCATATTTACAGGTACTTCAAATATTGATAAAAAACAATTGTGTATCATTTGGATATTCTTATAAAATATATCTTGAACAAAATGTTGGTCCAGTTGTAAGTAATTGAGTATGAACATATTTAGATAATGACAAATAATATTTATTCTGAAACACTTTATTTATTTATCTGCTGTACATGTATATCGTAATGTAATATCGGATCATATATACCCCACACTTTACAACAACATGTAACATATGATCATAAACTATCTACATAACTTGTTATTGTTTAAAGTTCTTTCACATTATGTCATTACACAATTGTTTGCATCGCAATCAACTTTAACTCAACTCAACTCAACTCAACTCAATCACTGACTCAACTCTATTCAACTCAATATATGTATGTTAACCTTTGTAAACAGATTCCTCTGGTCTCAAATGCATTAGTAATAGCAGTCAATACTGTGCCTACAATACATATACTTGTATAGAGAATATTTTTAAGCTCACCTGAGAGAAAGGTCCTCAAGGTGAGCTTTTGTGATGGCCCGTTATCCATCGTCCGTCCGTCATCAATTTCTTAAACATCTTTACCTCCTAAACCACTTTGCCAAATTTGTTGAAACTTTGCAGGGATGTTCCTTACATTAAGGTCTGCCAAAATTGTTCAAAGAATTAAATTCCCCCCAAAAACAACTCTGGTTGCCATGTCAAACGAATTTTTTTTACAAAAAAAATTCTTAAAAATCGTCTTGTAAAACACCAAAAGAGCTAGAGCTTAGATATTTGGCATGAAACATGTTCTAGTGGATGTCTACCAAGTATGTTCAAATAAATGTCCTAGGATTAAAATTGGCCCGGCCCCAGGGGTCATTGATTTTCCTTATATTTACATGTATATAGTTAAAAATTAAAAAACTTTCTTGTGACAATCCAAAAGAGGTAGAGCTTAGGTATTTGACATGAAACATTTTCTAGTGTATGTCTGCCAAGTTTGTTGAAATAAAACCCCTAGGGTCAGAATTGGCCCGGCCCCAGGGGTCATTGATTTTCCTTATATATATACAAATGTACGTGTATACTGTAAAAACATAAAAAATCTTCTTGTGAAAATCCAAAAAAGCTAGAGCTTAGATATTTGGCATGAAACATATTCTAGTTTATGTCTACCATGTTTGTTTAAGTAAATCCCATGAGGTCAAAATTGGCCACGTCTCAGAGGTCATTGATTTACCTTTCGTGTACTGTAAATCTGGTATTTTTGGCGATGTTTAAATTTTGCTATTTTTTCGTGAACTGGTTTCATGGCGAATTCATCATACTGCGTAAATTTTATACCACTATAACACAACATATATTATACAATTTTATATCCGATACAAAATGCTTCAAATTGTGATCAAGTTTGATAATGAATACAATAACTTACTTTTAAAAATGTATACAATGTTATGTTTACATAATAATAAATGTATTAAGGTTTACTAATAGATTTTCCCAATTCTATTTTTTCTTGGGTGAAAAGGGACTCAACTTTGAGATTTTGACTTATTTCTCAGGTAAGCGATCCAGGACCCTCTGGGTCCTCTTTTCATAAATTTCAATGAATTGTATAAAAATAACTTATATAATGAGTTGCGGTAGCCACGAGTAGAATATATATTTTTTCACAATTCGTTATCGTTTACATTTTAAATGGTACTCGTTTAAAAAGAAAAGCCAAGATGTC